CTGCCCTACACCCCCAATTTGGTGTCTTGTGCAGGTGCCTCTTTGCTTTGTCCCTGTGGGGACAGGGTTTCTGTGTGTGTATGTGTGAGCTGGGCCCTGCTGCCTCCCTCTCTCTTCTTGCAGATGCAGGTGGAGGGCAGGAGCATCAACTTTGTTAAGCACAACGCCCGCAGTGCCAAGCGGGCCCCGCTGCGACGGTCCCTGTCCGAGCAGGCGCTGGCCGAGCTGCTGCAGCAGAAGCACCGGGAACAGGAGGACTACAACACTAAGCAAAAGGGCCATGTCCCCCAGTAGTACGTATGCCCTCTGTGGTCCATGAGTCTTTCCTGCTTTCGTTCACCATGTCCCTCAGCTTCTGCATAGAAGGGGGGCTGAGGACAGAGGTGCTCCTGGCATGTGCAAGCAGTGAGATTTACAGTAGCCTGGGGAATAAAAGCAATTCCTTCTGCTTTCGTCACAAGCATCCCATGGCCAGTGTGGCTGAGCTCAGAAAGAATTTTGTCTCCTTCCTCCCTGGGTTGTTGTTGTCTGACGGTGCTGACATGGGGACGCTCTGTGCTATGAGAAGCATGTTCCTATCCCCTGTAAGCCTTGCTCTACATGACGTAGCTTCAATATTGCAAGGTCTGCTTTTGGAGAGGCAAATGCTTTGCTCTTCCTTGCAGTATTCAGCCCTGGACCCAGGGTCTGAGGAACATTCAACCTGTAACTTGCCTGTTGGGGTTCTGAGTGGAAAACCTCCTGGTGACCCTGTCCTAGGACTGACCGTGGTGTCAGTCCTTTGGCTCCATACTGTGCATGCTGTTCTCTGCCAGCATCCCTGGCTGTGAGCAACTTTGTCCAGCTTCATTCTGTCACTGGCCTGCAGGTGGTTTTGAGAGGAATCAGTAGCCTGGGCCAGAAGCAAGAAGCAGAATCCCTTGTCTCCAAAGAGCTTGTGTCGGCCTCAGTGCATCTCTTGCAGCAGTGATTCAATGCACATGGAGCATGTTTGCTGGTCCATGCATGTCGGCTAAGCCCAGTATACCCCTCCATGGCAGGAGTGTGTGCTATCAGCATGGGTCTCTGTGGTCCTCAGGCAGGAATGCTGGGGGAGGTTTGAAGGGCTCAGTTCCTGGCATCTGCCTGCCTCCCTGGGCACCTCCTTCTGCCAGATGTAATGACACGTGCTTCCTTTGCCTTCCCTCTGCCTTGCCAGCCTGCTGGAGAGGAAGGAGCTGTGGCGCAGAGAGATGGAGGAGCGGCTGCGAAACCTGCCAGATCCCAACATACCACCTGGTCATACCAAGATGCAAGAGGACCAGCGGCTGGAGACCCTCGGCAGTCTGAAGCAGAGTAAGAGGAAAAGAAACAGGGATTCCAGCTCAGAAAAATGGGTGATTCTAGCCAGGATTTGGGAGATGAGTTCTGGGACACAGGTTTCTGTTGTGTGGAGTTATCTGGACAAAGGCGTGTAGTTGGGATGTGAGATGCATGTGTGGAAAGGGCAATTTCCTTCAGGTTGGTAAGCAGGCTTGTCCAATAGACCTGATGTTAGGGTTACTATTGCCTTAATATGATAGAAAGAATTTGATTGGAAGGGACCTTCAGAGGTCTTGTATTCCAGCCTTTGGTTTTTCAAAGATGGCGCAGGTCACTCAGGTCTTCATCCAGCAGAGCTTTCAATGGAAAGAGGGGTATTATAAGTCCTTCTTCCAGTGCTGCCATCATTTTTATGGCTGAGGTTGAGGTCATGGGAAAAGGACAGATTTCTTTGCTCTTCCACTTGCACAACTTGTTTGGTTTGGCTTTGTGTTTTGCAGGCCAGGAGCAGCTGGTAAAGGACCTGGTGATGCTGCCAGTGAGGGCAGACACTCTCAGCATGCAGAAGAGGCGGGTGGAGCTGGAGAGGAAGCTCTCCCAAATAGAAGAGGCCATCAAAATTTTCTCAAGGCCCAAGGTCTTCATCAAGCTGGATGCGTGAGCTAGGTTGCGGTTAGGGCCCATGCAGGTGCCAATGCAGTGTCCCAGTGTGCAGCCAGTGTCTCTTGCTCATGCTTCAGTGATGTGCCTGTCCACAGAAAAGGGAGGGAGTATCCCTAATATACTCTCTGTGGTCTGGAGAACAGTTGTCTCTGTGTTGCTTGACTTCTCAGAGATCAGCTCTCTGTTCCGGATCCATGGCATCACCTCTTTTTTTCCCATTTTTTCCCACTTCTAGGAACTGGTAGGTCTCTCATGCAGCTGCCTGTGGTGTTTTGTCCCCCTCTCTCTCCTGAGCTGGCCCATGGTCATGGCTCATTCTGGGCACCTGCAGACTTGTCTGCACAAAACCCTTGTGCTGTTGGTCTGCCACATGTGCCCCAGTCCTGAGCACTGCCCCATCCTTCTCATGCAGCTCAGGGACCACAGAGAGGCACAGAGCTTCAGTCCTGTGCCCAGGGAAGAGCTGGAATGGCTGCAGGGGGGTCTGGTAGGATGTCAGGAGAAGCCTTTGTTGTGTGTGGGGCAGGATGTGCTTCCATTATGCATCGTTTCCCTCTTCAGTGTGTGTGCAGCTCCGGGTGGGCTCAGCAGGGCCTGAGGAGCACTGGTGTGTGGCAGAAACCAGCAGTACTGATGTTGCACAGGCAGGGGGAGAGCCATGGGTCCTGGTCCCACTACCCGCAGAGGTCCAAGGTGGCCAGGGAAGTCAGGTTTCACAGGGCTGGGGTGCTGGGATGTCGTGGCAGACTTGAGTGGAGGATGAGCAAAGTCCTGGTAGATCTCAGTCTGCAGCCTGACAGGACAAGAGTGGGTAGATGCCATTGTGGAGGTGAGCTCATGGCCTCCTTAGCTTCAGATGCCACACAGGGACCTGTGGAGACCTTTGCAGGGATCCTGCTGAGTGAAATGTAGACAGACTTGACCTAAAAGGGATCTCTGGAGGGCTTGGTCTATGTCCTGCTCAGCAGAGGGACAGATCCACAGCTGGGGGGCCTTCTCCATCTGAGTTAACATCTCCAAGGACAGGGCTGCCACCACCACCTCACTGGGGCTGTTTCCAGGCAGTGCCATCCTCAGGGAAAACCTCTGAAGCCCCATCAGAATGTCCCTCATTGCAGCTTGTGCCTGTTGCCCCATTTCCTTCGCTGAGATGACTGCCCCAACCAGGGGTTTTCTCCAACGTGGGGAGGGTTTTTGGGGTAGGGGTGTTGTGGAGCAGGGTCCAGCCCTGCCTACAGCACCCTGGGAGATACTGCAGTGTCCTGGGACATCAGGGGCTGACGCTGCTGCCAATGGATGAAGAAACTTTTAGTGCTGGAGGAGGTGAAGATGCCAACCTGAAAATCAGCCACTGACCAATGGGGCTGCTCTCGGAGCAAATGCTGCAGCCAGGCTGAGCTGACTGGATGAGAGTAGTGCTGGGGGCTGTGGACACCAGCTGCATGGCACCTCCCTCCCTGTAGCAAGTCTGGACTAACCAGCCCTGCTGCCTGCTTTGCTGCTCTGCCACTGCTCTGCTGCCCACCCAGAGTGTCACTTGGCTCAGGAGCCCTGGAGCTGCAATCCCTGCTTGCCCCAGGCAGGGCTGTGGCTTTGATGGGTAGTCAAAACCTGAACATTTGGCACTGTGTCCTCAGACCCTGAGAGCTGTGGGTCCTTCTCACCCAGCCCCACTGCGTGCCCTTGGCAGCAGCGCTGATGAGGGGATGCTGTTTATAGGCCTGGGGGAGCTTGTGCAGGCCCTTGGCACTAAATCAGCCTTGCAAAGTTTTGGCTAAGCCAGGGCCTCGGGACAGGAGCTGCATGGGGTTTGGGGCTTGGTTCTCAGGGGTCAGCGAAAGCAACAGGACACAGTCCCACTTCCCTGCGGAGGGGACCAGCCAGGGGGCACACTCATGCCTGTGCCTAGCATTGCCTCCAGAGCAAGGCTAGGGCACTTAGTGCTGGTGCTGAAGGACAATGCTGCAGGAGGTGTGGTGACGGGGTTAAGATGGTCACCACAGATGGTGGCCAGCCATATGGCCAGGCCTGTTCCCACCAGGACAGGAGAAGTAGGACCTGTCAACCCCTTGGGTCCGTGGGGACTCAGCAGCATCTCTCTGCTGGGGTGTTGCTCCATCCCTTCCCCTGAGCAGGTAGGTGCTCGTCTGAGGCTGGGCCAGGCCAGCAGGAAAGCAAAGGTGAAAGCCACCATCAGCTTAGCACTTCGGTGCTGGGAGAGGAATGGAAGGCGCTGGGAGCCTCCTGGGCTTGGGACTGGAGGAGAATGGAGCTGTGCCATCCAGCATTTGCTGGGGCTGAGTGTCAGCCATGGTGCTGCTGCCAGCCCAAGTGCCACCCAGCTCCTGTGGATGTGATCAGGGTGTCTCCTGTGTGGTGAAAGCCCTGCAGTGGAGACAAGGTGGGAACTGAGGGGAGGCACGTGAAGCTCACTGCCCAGAACAGCCTGGACACGTGCCGTGGGACAGGGATGTGCAGGTGGAGGATGTGCTCCAGCATCCGTCCACGTTTTCCACGGTGGACCTCACTGGTCCACCTGGCTCAGCAGCAAAGCCACAACCGCAGGGCTGGGGTTCCACAACCACTGTCCTCCCGAGGGACCTGTGGAGCTAATCGTGAGAGGTTCATGCTGGTCCATAATGGGATGGGCCACAGCATGGGATGGGGTGATAGGGCTGGTGGTGCACGCGCCTACCCCATCCCCTGGCATTGGGGCTGTTTGCTGTCCTGGAGATGGCTGTGCCTTATTGGGCTGCTGGGGTCCAGCCCCTGTGGTGACATGAACCAGGGACCAGCAAGGTGCTTTCTAGAAAAGGTTTTACTGTCCATTGCAATATATTAATTGATGATCCATATTTTGATAAAACACTTTAAAAACCCCCACTTGCTTGGATGCAGGGGGTGGGAGGCCGGGGGTCTCAGAGGGCAGCAGGGCTCCCAGGGACACAGACAGTGGGCAGCCCTCCTCCACCCCTGCTCACTGGCCCCATCATTGCTGCAGGGCCCACGACCAGCCTGGCTGTGTGGCTGTCACCAAGAGTGGCACAGGACCCTGTGTTGGCTGCTGAGGGTGGCACGGGACCCTGTGGCTATAGGGTGAGGAGGGTGCCATCCTCCTGACTGCTGCCCCGGCCAGGGCTGCCGTCGTGGCTGCCAAGGGACTGGAGGGAGCCCTGGGAGCTGTGTGGTGATGGGCTCTGCTGAAGGGGCTGGTCTGTGGGGCCCCCGTTGGGGCAGCCCCTGGGGATATAGTGGGGTGCGCTGTCACTTTCAATGACCAGGTCACCCTCCTCATCGCTCTCGGCCGTGCTATAGTTGCTCAGGTACTGTGAGGCCGGGCTGGGGGTCTGCTGGCTGGGGGTGCTGTCTGTGGACATGCCTGAGCTGCCTGAGGCCTTGCTGCTGCGGATGACGTTGTTGCGCTGGTTGGCTGGCTTGACAGTGATGATGAGGTTGTGGCTGTTGGCCACCATCATGTCCGTCACCTGGTCCAGGGACTTGCCAGCCACATCGATGCCATTGACCTCCAGGATCTCGTCGCTCACGGCCAGTAGCCCTGTGCTTTCGGCCAAGCCACCCTTCACCAGGCGGGAGATGAAGATCCCAGGCACCTTCTCGACACCGTGTGGGGCCACACGCACACTGACACCATCACGGATGTAAAAGCCCAGCGGTTTGTCAGAGCCATGCTTGTGGAGCCTCACGCGGCGGTGAGTCTCAGGCAGGATGTCCACGTCGATGATGGAGGAGATCTGTCGGAAGTCCTGGGGCATGCCAATGAGGAGGTGGGTCTTGGTCCGATAGTGTACAGGGCGCAGCAGCCCCTTCTTCTTTCGCTGCAAGGAGTTTGAGGCAAAGACACTGGCATCCGACTCTGCTGTAGGGAGCAAAGAGGACAAGGGTCAGGCACCACAGCTGCCTGTGGATGCAGCCACATGCCCCATGTGTTGGGGAAGCCAGCAGGAGAAACTCCCTGCTCACGGGTCTCACTGGCTTTTCCTCCCCAGAGCATCACCCTGGCTTTCCCCACAGCCTGTCTCTGCTGGGCCCATCTCCTGGGATTACCCAGCACACACAAGGTCAGGATTAGAGGGATCTAAATGGTGATTCAGCCTTAATCACACTTTAAGCCAAACTCTGTAGTTTAACACTAGAGCTGCCAGCCCTGATTGCTCAGGTCCCGTGGTCATGTCCCACTTTGGGTTTGGGGAGAGGGAAGACCCCTGCACGAGGGGCTGCTGTGATGGCAGCTCCCTGGGGAGAAGTCTAGTCCCTGAAACAGCACCAGAGTTCCTTGTCCTCTCTGGAGCAAGGCCATCATTGGCATGGGATGGGGGTGGCCACAGCTGCATCCTGCAGAGCCCTGTCATCCCCAAGGATGGAGACTCCCATGCTCCTGGAGACTCATCCCAGGGATCCAGGAACATCCTAAACTAAGATGTGTGCCACTGCATCTTACTCCACCATCTGGCACCACCACACAGGGTTTGACTCCATCCCTCCTGGGGTTCTTCTGTGGAGCCTAGCTTCACATACTGCCTCCTCAGCCACATTCAGCAGGTGCTGGGGAGCATCCCCTGAGCCCTCTCTGGTTTCTCCACATCCCTTTCCATGTGGGAGCTCTGATCTGGATGTTTCATTGCTGGCAAGTCCCCCATGATGCCCCCCAGTAGCACGGAGACCCTGCTCCAGCGGCAGGGAGCTGGGGATGCTCCTAAGCCCAGGTGATGTGGGGTTTCTCCTGAGCCAAGCAGCCTTCCAGGGCTCCTGGGTTATAAATATCTCCCTGCACACACAAACCGGCATATTTTTAGCATGGGGAAGGGCGGTGGAGGCTTTCCCACAGCTATTCCAGCACACAGTTCCTCTCTGCGATGCGCAGGGTGGCTGGGCCAGGTAGGGCCAGCACCCCAGGGATGAGTCTTTCGGCAGCTCTGGTGAAGTGCCAGGCTTTCCCCTGCCTTTCCAATGGGCCCAGCCCAGCCGAGGTGGGCCAGCACCGTGTCCCCAGCCAGGCTGCCCCCCAGGTACCCAGTAGAGTGACAGTGCAGAGAGGAACCAAGCTGCAGCCTCTGTTTTTTACCTCCCTGAGGCAGTCCTGGCTGCCCAGAGCCCACTGGTGGGTGCACACCTACATGCACACACATGTGCATGGCTGTGAGAGCAGCTCCACAGCCACATTCCTCACCAACCTGAGCTGGTTCAACGACAGCCCAGCCTCGGGATGACCTGGATCCATTTTAAATCATCTGTGACTCACCCAGGGCTTGCTCCCAGCCTCTCCACACACCTCCCCTGGTGCTGCCAGCCCTGTGGCAGCTGTCCCACAGGCACAGCCAGTGCTGGGTTGTGCCGGTGCTGCTTCCTGATCACATTGTGCATGGTGCCAGGGCTGTGGCTGTCCACTGGACACAGAAAGCCACTTCGGCACTGTCACTCACAGGCCCCACATGCTTTCCCAACAGCAGATTAGGTGGCTCTGGGAGCAGGAGCAATGCTCCCACGGCACCTCTGGCACATGCAGCACTGTAGTAGCTCCCTGTGCTGCAGCCTGGGTCCAGGAACAGGCCATGGTTCAGTGCCTGGATGGCTGCTGCCAGCCCAGTAGTGTGTGTCCCCAGAGGAAATGTGTCCAGGGCATCCGGCACCACCCTTGTGCAAGAGCCCAGGAACCCTGGCACAGCAGCTGGGTCCAGCCACCAGCATTATCCCTTACCCAGGGCCTTTGTAACACAGCTCACTAACAGCAGCTGGAAACATGGAGTCATTCTGGACACCATGCTGGGAAAACAGGGGCTTTGAGATCAGGCTCTGGCTCTGTGCACTGTTGCTTGATGGTGCTACTCACGGGAAAACCTCTGTGCTACTAAAACAAGTGTAAGGGGACAGGCTTGTCTCCCTAGTGAAGGGGAGATGCAGCCAGGGTGTTTGTCACTGGGAGATTTTCACCCTGCTATCACAGTGATTTCAGGCTCCTGTGCAAGGAAGCTGCTCTCTGGGAACACACCACTAAGGTCAGGGTGAGCCCCTGGGCTGCCAGGGAGGAGACGAGCCTCCTCCCACTCCAAAACCTCATCAGCAACCAGCACCCGAGAACTCTGCTGAAGTGATAGCTGCTGTTGCCTTGGGGCAGGGAGCCGCATGGGGCTCCTGGTGTGGCACTCACGGGAGCAACACAGTGTTTTCCAGGTGTTCCGGGGGCCTCCTTGTGCCACCACCTCCTGGTGCCACAGTGGTGGCTGGAGGGTGTGTGATCCACCACCTCTGCTGCAGCCCAAATGTGGAAGCAGTGATAGTGTGGCTCAGGTCTCTTGATGGGGAGGACGGATCTGTTGCCTGTCTCCCAGTCCTTCTTACCCTTCTTCTGGATGATGATCCTGAGGAGGGGGTTGGCAGAGGACAGGGCTTTGTGGTAGTTGTCATCGTTGTTGATGGGCAAAAGGTCGCCGTGGATGTCCGTGTAGCCCAGGAGCACATCCACCCGTGGGATCTGGTGCACTGTCTGTAGCAGGCGGTAGAAGTCCTGGAAGCTGCCCATGCCAGAGCGCTTCATGGCGAAACGGCGAAACTCAGCATCGAACTGCAGATGAGAAGGAGAAAGAGGGTGAGGCTGGCCAGGCTGGCTCCAACCAGCAGGACCTATGCAGGCAGGGTACAGAGCAGAGCTGCCCCAGCACAGGCAGAGCCAGGCATGGGTGGCTCCAGAGCCCCAGCAGTACCAATGCAGTGCATCCATCAGCCAGAGCCTGTCCCAGAAGCAAGATAAAAGGAGCGGAACAGCCAAGTGACAGCATGGAGAGCTGCCCGGGTAGCAAAGGAAGGACCCTCCGGCCGTGCCACCAGCCACAGACCTGCCAGAAGGCCCTTCCCTGCGACACAGGCACTGCTGCAGCACCTGGTGAGCAACAGCGTTAATTATTGCCTCCCTCAGTCACGACGAAAGAGAAGCCAATTAAGAAGAGGCTGAGGAGTGCTGCGAGGCTCCCGCTGCTCGAGGTGGGTCCCAGCTCTGCAGGCAGAGCACCCCAGGCACAGCTGGACGAGGGTGCACAAGGGGGATGCACACATCTGGGTGAGCACAGAACTGGGTGGGTGGGCACAAGTGGGCAAAGGAGCACATCTGGGCAAGAATGGGCCAGGTGACCACACATCTGAATATGCAGGCACACCTTGGGGGTGCACACCTGGGCGAACATGCGCACAGCATGGGGGTTACCCCGTGCTTGGGGTGTACATCTGGGTGCTGGAACAGCACAGGCAGCTGGGTGAGAGCACATCTGGGCTAGGCATAAGCACAGCACTCCCGCACCGGGGGGACACCCGTACACATCAATGCTGCCGGCACCGCACACCGGCGCGGGTGAACATCTGCCGAGCGCTCGCCGGCGGCGCTTACACGGCCGGTACCGACTGCGCCAAGCGGGCCCGAGCCCGCGGTGTGGGACGCTGCGGCCGCCGCGCTGTGCAAGGCTCGGGGAGGCCCCGGGTAGCGCTGCCGCAGCGCGGGGGAGCGGAGCGGAACGGAGCGCCCGTACGGCTCGGCTCCCGCGCCGCTCCCCGGTGTGCAGTGCCGCCCCACGTGTGCTGACCGGCGCGGAGAAGGCGCGGCCGGTCGTGACTGTGTGGCTCCTGCCTTTGCGCGGCTCCGACCCAGAGGTCCTTACCTTGCTCTTGACCTCGATGACGGACTCTGCGGAGCGCGCCGGTGTGCGGTGGTGCTTGGCCATGCTGCGGGCCGGGCCCCACGCCGCCGCCAGCGCCGCTCCAGCGGCCACCGGGGATTTTCACAGGCCATGACGTCACCGGGCAGCAGGTCGGGCGCGCCGCGTCATTGGCCAGGCGAGGCGGGGGGCGTGGCCGGAGGGTTGCTGACAACGTCGCCGTGGCAACGGGGGCGGGGCCGTAGGGCAGCTGCGCCCCCACCTCTCCCCGGCTTCCCCCCCCCCGCCCTGCTCCCGGGACCCTCATTAGCGGGACAATTAAACCCACCGTGGAGGCACCCGCCCCGCTCCGGAGCCCCTAAGGTCCGACACGCAGCAGCGTCCCCGGTGAGTCCCGCGGGTGTCACCGGCTGGAGCCCCGACTTGGCCGGTCCCGGCAGCAGGAGGTTACCGGCGGAGCTCTGTGCAACCCGAGCCATGGGCGTGGTGCTGAGGGCTAGTGGTACGAGGTTTCCAGCCCCGGGCTCCACGTTCTTGCTGGATTCACTCCCTGCAATTCGGAAGGATGCGTTACCTGTCTGGCGGCATTTATCATTTTGGGAAGAGCTGCTTTACTGAGTGGTTGGGTGGGAGAGATCTGACGGAGAATCTGCAGAGGTATTTGGACTGGCTGGATCGATGGGCCAAGGCCAATGAGATTAGGTTCAACAAGGCTAAATGGCGGGTCTTGCACTTGTGTCCCCACAACCCCGTGCAATGCTCCAGGCTTGGGGAAGAGCAGCTGGAAAGCTGATCGGTGGAAAAGAACCTGGGGGTACTGAGTGACGGAGCTGAACATGAGCCAGCTTGTGCCCAGGCAGACAAGAAGGCCAGCAGCATCCTGGCCTCTGTCAGCACCAGTGTGACCAGCAGGGCCAGGGCAGTGATGATCCCCCTGTACTGGCACTGGCGAGGCTGCACCTTGAATCCTATGCTCAGTTCTGGGCTCCTCACCACAAGGGAGACATTGAGGTGCTGGAGCTGGTCCAGCCAGAGGTGGCTGGTCTCTTCCCCCAAGGGATAGGACAAGAGGAAACAGCTTTAAGCTGCACCAGGGGAGGTTTAGACTAGAGATCAGGGACAATTTCTTCCCTGAGAGGGTGCTCAGGCATTGGAACAGGCTGTCGAGAGCAGTGGTAGAGTCACCATCCCCGGAAGAGTTCACAAACTGTGCAGATAGGCCCTTTGTGACATGGTCCAATGGTGGCCTTGCAGTGCTGGGGTAATGGTTGGACTTGATGATCTTGAAGGTCTTTTCCAACCTGACTGATTTTATGGCATCTGTGTGCAAGGAATTTACTGGGTGTACAGCAAAGTGCTCATCTCACTGTACCATTGCAGGGCTGGGACATGCTCATCTCCTAGTATTGCCTGTGCACCCATGGGTGATGCCCTAAGGATGTGTCTCTGGTGGGACCGGATCTGTGGAGGCACAGCAGTGCTCTGGGATACACAGGCAACCCCCCCATGGTGCACCTCTGGCTGCGCAATGCTGGAGTGTGCCGCCAGCACCAGGGTCACCAACCAAGGCTGAAGTCCTGCTCACAGGCTCTGAGGCAGCTACCATGGCGGCTGCTGGGGCGTGACAGCAGCACCATGAAACCTATCATGAAGCTACAAAGGGCAGTGCTTCCTGCTGAACAAACACACTGATCCAAACCCTGAAAACCAGCCTGGCTTCTCTGGATCACACAGTTCTCCGATCCTTGCCCCATCTCGGCCTGTGGAGCAACCTTTGTCCAGCACAAAACTGCATCAGCCGTGGCACCACCAGTGCTCTGGTCCCACGGGGCCAGGCTGTGGGTCCCACAAGCTCTTCCCCTATACTACAGGGGAGAGAGGGAGCCCAGCAGGCTGTGAGGCCACGGGACACCCTCTCACATACCCCCATATCCCCCACTGGCCTCCTGCAGTGACAGCAAGCCTGGCACACACAGCGCTGTGAACTCATCAGCAATCCTTCCCACCTGCTGGGGTTTTGCTTTCTTTTCATTTTGAGGTCAGAGATAACACTGATTTAGACCAGAGTTAATATTTGCACAGGCACCAGTGACAAAAGGAGCTTGCAGCCCTTCATCTCCAGTTTTGGTAAGTGGGAGTTAATTGTCCGGCAGGCCACTGGGGTGACTTGCTGGTCACACATTCCATTTTGCACCGTGAACCTGAATTGAGACCTAAACTAAGCAGATGTTATTGGGGCAGTTATTTGTTTTGTCTTAGTACCTGGAGCTGTGAATCAGCCTCTGGGATGGGAGTATGTGCTACCAAACGTCCAGACATGTCCAACAATTCCAGGTCCACCAGCTCTAGGCTGCTGTGGGCTCTTGGCAGGGCTCAGTATCCCAGCTTGGAGGGGATGTGCTAAGGTCTGGCGCTCAGGTTGGTGGGCACTTCAGGAGGTCTCTTCTCCACCACCTGCTCAAAGCTGGGTCAATGCTGGTGCTGTCTAGCATGTTCCCATCAGCAAGTGCTTTTCCCAGTGTTTTTCTGAGCAATGCAGTGGGCAGCCTGGGTGAGCTCTGTCCCTCTTGACCATGGCAGGGAGAAGTAGAGGAGCTGGAGTTGGAGGCAGGATCAGTGCTGCAACTACAGCTGCACACCGGTCCACAGGCACAAAGAGTCCCAGCAAAACACACACTTGGAGCTGGAGCATCTTGATTGACACTAGCCTCTGCACAGCTTTGCATTGCAGCTGCCTCCCTCTGGGCACTCCAAGTAAAGGCTGCACCTGAGCCAGCAGCAAAGTCACCTTGACCTTAGGGGGTGTATTTGCACAGGCAGGCTTGGACACTGCATTGTTCTTTCCCTCTTCCACTGCCATCAGGAGCTGCAGGACACGGATCAGGGTCTTTGACACAGTGTCTCCTTGGTGTGGTGGGGCCACAGAGCTGAATGGGGATTGAGGCCAGCTGCAGTGCTTGCTCTGGGGAGGGATGCTGCACAGGATCTCCAGCCCAGCAAGGATGTACCCTGGCAGCTGTGGAGGGTTTGTGGAGCAGATGTTGTCTCAGCTCATGTCTTTGCAGCTCTTCCCCAGGAAGCAGTGAGGTGATGCATCCCCATGGTGCAGTGTCTTTTCTGGTTGCAAAATCTGGTCCTGGCTGTAAACTCATCCATGCCCCTGGGCAACAGGTCTGGCTGCCAAGGAATACTGAGCAGCTGATCAACACGCAGAGTAAATACATGGCGCTGGCAGATAAAACTGATATCTCACATTCCTATGATACTGTCTTAAAGTACGCTAAAACCCCCTCCTGGTGCATCAGTATCATTACCGCTGTTTTTCCCGGTGCTGGATCACATCTCAAAGGAAGGAGGAGGGCTCAGAAGCTGCTGTTGTACATTTTTATGTTTCATTTGGTGTCTTTTTTTTTTAATAGTGATAAGTTCTTGAATTGCCACCTTTCTCTAACCCCCCTGCACGCTCCTTTTGCACCACTCAGAAGCATGGTGTGTTCTGTCCCACAAAGTCAGCAACAAACCTGTTGAGCTAACTACACAGATCTGGTAAAACAACCATCAGAAAAGTGATGTTTCACCAGGGCCAGGCTGTGGATCTGGCTTGCACAGCACCCCACAGGGAGCTGCAGGAGAAGGGGAGAGGGAAGAGCAGGGCCAGGGATCCCTAAAACTGGTGCTGCTGTCAAAGTTGATGTGTGGTGGAATCACAGAATCACCCAGGTTGGAAAACACATTCAAGATCATCAAGTCCAACTGTTCCCAGCACTGTCAAGGCCACCACTGAACCATGTCATGAACGGCCCTGTCTACATCTTTTGTGAACACTTCCAGGGACAGTGGCTCCACCACTGCCCTGAGCAGCTTGTTCCAATGCCTGAACACCCCTTGGGGAAAAAATTGTTCCTAATCTCCAGTCTAAACCACCCCTGGTGCAGTTTGAGGCCATTTCCTCTTGTCCTACCCCTTGCTCCTTGGGAGAAGAGACCAGCCACCGCCTGTCAGGCAGTTGTAGAGAGTGATAAGATCCCCCCTGAGACTTCTCCAGACTAAACCCCCCAGGTCCCTCAGCCATTCCCCATCACACCTGTAATTCAGGACCTTCACCAGCTCTGTTGCCCTTCTCTGGATCTGCTCCAGCACCTCAAAGTCTCTCTTGTAGGGAGGGGCCCAGAACTAAGCTCAGGATTCAAGGTGCGGCCTCACCAGTGCCCAGTACAGGGGGATCATCACTGCCCTGACCCTGCTGGTCACACTGGCGCTGACAGGGGCCAGGATGCTGTTGGCCTTCTTGTCTGCCTGGGCACAAGCTGGCTCATGTTCAGCTCTCTCAGCATCCCCAGGTTCTTTTCCACCGATCAGCTTTCCAGCTGCTCTTCCCCAAGCCTGGAGCTTTGTATGGGGCTGTGGGGACCCAAGTCAGGACCCGGCACTTTGGAGCTCTTCCCTGAGCGAAGGAGCCCGGCGCGGAGCCTCACGGGCTGTAGGGACTTGGGGTAACGTTCCTGGGCTGCCAGCGATGGACGCAGGTTTTGGCAGGCCTGCGGGGTGGGTGTCTGAAGGATTAGACGCACCCGGAGGCGGTTCCGGCCCCCCTCGGAGCCGAGGCCGGGCCCTCTGTTGCGGGCCGGGTCAGCCTCGGCTCCCCCTGGCCCAGCGAGGCCCTGGGCGGGGATCGCGGTTGTCGTGGTGACGCCGCGTAGACCTTGGAGTCCCCGCCCATCACCGGTAGGCCCCCAATCAGCTCCTACCTCTCCCGCCACCGCCCTCTCCCGCAGCCCTCCGTCCCATTGGTCCACGTCGTAGTCCCTCTACCTCTCTCGCCGCTGCCAATCAGCTGCAGCCACCGCAGCCCTGCGGCAGGGCGGGGCGCGCAGCCGGTCTATAAAAGGCTCTGCCGGTGACTAGTGCGGGTTCAAGGCTGCCCGACCGCCATGCGGGAGTCTTTGCTGCTGCTCGTCCGCAGCCCCACGCAGCGGCACCCGGACCTGCGTCTGAGCGCCAAGCCCGCCTGGACTGTGCGGCGCCTCAAGGCCGAGCTGCGCCGCCTCGTTCCCGGTGCACCGGTGAGTTCGCGACGCCGCTTCCCGTCGCACGGGAGCTGTGGGGAGCAGAGCCGCGTCCCCGGGGTGCGCTTCCGGGGCCTTCCCCTCACCCGGCCGAGCCCTGACCGTTTCCACCCCCCACCCTCCGAAGTGTCT